GTCTGCTTCTCCCTCTGACCCTCCTCCCTCTCATGCTCTCTGTCTCTCATTTTCTCTGTCTCAAATAAATAAATAAAATCTTAAAAAAAAAAAAAGAAAAGAAAATGAGAATTAAGTGGAAGTCAACATACTGAACAGTGAAGCCAGAGCTGTCTTTCTGTGTGACTCTCAGAACTAATGGTCAAGCTTATGCTCCCCCTAAACAAGATATTAAAGGATTCTTTTCTGGGGAAATATCAACCTATGGTAAAATATTTAACAGATACAGACTTTGGGAGTTCGCCTGATTGAACAGCTGCATCACCATCAGATCACGTGAGAGAGAGAAAGAGAGAGTGAGTGAGCTGCTGGTCAAGAGACACTGTTTATGCACCAGACTTTCAGTCAGCTGTAAGTGCCTCACATGTAAACCTAAATGGAGAGCCAAGGATCACCAGCCATTTGGTGGAAGTCTCTAACATAAACCAAACAGGAGGTGGCCTGGGTGGCTCAGTCAGTTAAGCCTCTGCCTTTGGCTCAGGTCATGATCCCCGGGCCCTGGGATTGAGCTCCGAGTCGGGCTCCCTGCTCAGTGGAGAGTTTGCTTCTCCTTCTGCCCCTCCCCCTGCTGGCGCTTACTCTCTCTCTCTCTCAAATAAATAAAATTAAAAAACAAAAACAAAAAACAAAAAAAACAACCAAACAGGAATAAACGCAGGAAATAAAAGGAGCTTGGTAGAAACAGATTTACTGCATGTAACAGAAGAAACTTGAACCAAATAAAACTGTGGTACCTTTAGAGAGAAAAGAAATGACATCCATGAAAGAAGAGGTTCTATTTTTTAAAAAAGAGAAATTGTTCAGAAAACAGAAAAGGTCTCTGTGAGAGCAGAAAAAATTATATAAGGATTGGATAATAAAGCTGAAGAATTCTCCCCCAAAATAAAACAGCCACAAGAATTAGAAAATAAGAGTGAGTAAATAAGAAAAAATGGAGAACCAGTCAGGGAGGTCTTTTGTCTTATACAGTGGGAGGAAACCATCATCTAAGTCCCAGAACTGGAAGAGGTGAGCTTTTGGTTGAACGGGTCTTCTCTCGGGTGTCCTGAAGAAGAAAACAGGAGAACAAAACCAAAAACCAGATTAGTTCTTAATCATTCTACTTCTAGAAAGAAGAATGGGGGATGGAGGTGCAATTCTCAAACTACACTTTGAACAAGTATAGGAATAAAAGAAACCCTGTCAACTTGAAATTATATGTAAGTATTGTTGGGAAGCCCCAACAGTTCTGTGAGAAAAGGCAGAGTTGTGCAGAGGGGGGGCGTAGCTGAGAAATCACCAGCAGCTGTTTAGTCCAGAAGCAGTCCCGTCCTAAGAGAGAATTGCTGCATACCAGGCTAAGACTGAACAGCCATACCATGTCCATTAAGGAAAGCAGGGAGGAATTGGAAAGTGCCTGGGTGGCCCAGAGATCTTAGAATGTGCTAACAAAATACTACTAGAAGTGAGTGTATGACCTTGGAAAGCAAGGAATGTGGCTCTTAGTAATAGTAGTCTTGAAGAGAAAACAGCTGGAAGTATAGGCCCTCCTGAACCAGATTACACTTGCAGGTTACAAGAGGTTTGGCAACAAAGGCACCATATTATTTTTTCAAAACTCCTTGGATGCAGGAACAGAAAACTTCTCTGATCCCTCCCTATACCCTTCTGCTGGTTCAGGATAATTCATCTTGTTCTTCAAGTATGAAAAACAAAAAGAATATGCACAGCATCCTTACAGTGATACTGTGGTAGATTGCATTTCTTTGTTGGTTGTTTTTTTTTTAATATAATATTTTTAATACTGAGATAGAATTCATTGGTTTTTAGTATATTCATAAGGTGTACAACCATCACCACCATCAATTGTGTTATGAACCCCAGGGCTTTATTCCCTCCTTCCTTGACTGCATTCTTCCCACTAAAGAGACAGGGTATTTTTCCCTCCCCCTTGACTTTGAGTTTGACCATATGACTTGCTTTGTTCAATAATATCAGGTAGAAATGACAGTATGTCAGTTTCAGGCCTAGTAAACCTTAAGAGGACTTGGGTATTCTCCATTTGTTCTCTGCACCTCTGCCATTTCCATGAGAAAAAACATGCCTCCCTAACTCATTGGTTGAAGGAAGATGGGAGACACATGGGTCAGGGCTGCCCCAGCTGAGTTAAGCCTAATTCAGCCAACATTGTAGAAATGTGAGCAGTAGTAAATGATTGTGGTTATAAGCTACTGAATTTTGAGATGGTTTGTTACTAAGCAGTAGTTAACTAATATAAATGTGTAAGAAAAGGCTAAGGTGGAGGGATATGCACCACAGTTTTCTACAGATGTTAAGAAAAGCCCAAAATACTGGTACAGTGTAGATCAGGGGTGGGCAAGCTACTGCCTGTAGTCTTGCCTGTTTTTCTAAATAAAGTTTTATTAGAACATAGTCATTTCCATTCATTTACACATTGTCTGTGGCTGCTTTTATGCTTCACCAGCAGAATTGAGTCTTTGTGACAGAGACTGTATGGCTCACAATCCTAAAATATTTACTGTCTGGCCCTTTATGAAAAAGCATGTGGACCTCTTGAAGTAGGTGAAAAGTGTAACCTAAAATTCCAACATAAACTTACAAATAAACTAATATATCATTTCCATACCTACTAGGATGGCTGTAATCAGAAAGATAATAACAAGTGTCAGCAATGATGTGGAGAAAGTAGAACTTTGCACGCACTGCTAATGAGAATGTAAAATGGTGCAGTCACTTTGGAAAACAGAATGGCGGTTCTCCAAATGGTTAAACATAGATTTGTCATATGATCCAGCTGTTCTCTTAGGTATATATTCAGGAGAAATGAAAAAATGTCCACACAGAAACTTGTACATGAACATTCATAGCATTATTATACATAATAGCCAAAAAGTTGAAAGAGCCTAGATGTCCATCAGTTGATGATTGGGTAAAAGAAAATGTGGTATATCTGTAAAATATCATTTGGCCCTAAATGAGCCAATGAAATGAAATGTGAGTGAAGTAAACACGCTACCATATGGATGAACCTTGAAAACATGATGCTGCATGAAAGAAGCCAGTCACAAAGGACCACTTGTATGATTCCATTTACATAAAATGGTCCAGTATAGACAAATCTATACAGACAGAAAGTAAATTAGTGGTTGCCTAGGCCTGGGAATGGGGAACAGTGGAAGATGAGGATGGTGGCTAAGGGGTACAGGGTTTCTTTTTGGAGTGATGAAATGGTCTAAAATTGATAGTAGTGATGGTTGCACAGGTCTGAATAAACTAAAACCATTGAATTGTACACTTTAAATGGGTGAATTGTATGCTATGTGAATTATATCTCAAAGTGTTAAAAAATAAAAATAAATGAAGCACAGAAGTTATGAAGACCACAAAGCAGAATTATAAGAATTTGAGGAAGAGATAGCCAGACCACAGGTGGATGTGAAATGGGCACTAGCAGAACAGAAAGAAAAGGAAGAAAAAGATTAAACCATTTCAGAAACCGTAAATTACGAGGCGCATGGGAGACTAGGTACCATGGCAAAGGACATAAAGATTAGATGTGAAATGTTATGTGTTTATTTTACCATGATTTTTACTGTATAAAACAAAACCAAAGATAACATGAGAAAAGTGAATCAAAGCAAACAAATAGATCTTTCTAAAAAGTAAATACTGAGATAGTAATATAGAAGACCCATTTAATTTTCCCCTCTTGACATAACCTGTTTCCTTAATGAATGAATGTTACCAATATTGCTACTTTTTCTACAGAATTTTGAAGATATCCATACAGTTCTGCCTCAAATCCTTTTTGAAAAAAGGTGTACTATTATAAAACTAGACATGCTAATATTTGTGTGAAGCATATTGAATTCTTCAAAGAAACTGCTTGTGGTTCCTTATATGTTTAATGCTTCTACCTCTGCTCCTACTGTTTCTATTGCCTAGAAAACATGCAGACTAGCTTGTTTTTTGGCTCCTTTATTATTTGAATACCTACTCAGATTTCAAGTATGACTGCCTCTAAAACTTCTTGACATTTCCCTGTCTTAAGGAAATCCCTATTATGCATCCACTGCATCGTGTTCTAGATTCTCCCACACATTTATAGTACTGGTTTCTGTATAGGTTTGTCTTCCTTTTCTAGTCTAAGCTTTTATTGTAAAGATGGTTTCTCATTTGTCTTGATGAATCCAGGATATAGCATGGTACTGTGTATGTAATAGGCATCACTAATAGTTTTTTTTTTTTTTTAAGAATGGATGAGTCGGGGCACCTGTGGCTCAATCAGTTGAACCTCTGACTCTTTCCTTCGGCTTGGGTTGTTATCTCGGAGTTGTGGGATTGAGCCTCACGTCAGGCTGCACACTCAGCAGGGAGTCTGCTGGAGACTCTCCCTCTCACTCTGCCCCTCCCCCATCTCTTTCTCTGAAATAAATAAATCTTTAAAAAAAAACAAGAATGGTTGGGTCATATACTAATTTGGGGGTGGGGAGAGATTTTATTTGTGTTCTATTTTATTTTCAACCAGTAGAACATAAATGTGGTTCTATAACCTCTACTTTTTATCTTGAGGCAAAATTGATTCCTATAAGCATAACTTATTTCTGTGAACAGATTTTCTTTAGAACTTAAATATTGAAGGAAAAGCATTTCATTTTATGTTTTACTGCTTAGAGAGCCAATTTAGCCTTAGCTCTGGAGACTTGTCAAAGGAGGTAACATTACAGAATTGTACCTAATGTAAATTAGATGTTCAGTAGACATTTGTTTATATGGTAGGTTTGCCGTAAATAGAACTATTCACTTTATGATTTAATTTTTTCTTTTCTCATTTTAGCATTTATGACATTAACAGAGAACAGGACTATGTCAAGAATTCTGGGGGTATACTTGGTGAAAATGAATTAAGACCACCCTCCCAGCTACATTCTCTCTTAGAGAAGACCAAGCCAGGGTTCATATCAGAAAAGAGTGGGTATTAAACTAAATGCTATGAGTTATTACTAATGAATCCAAGTAGAACAGTACAATTGAAAATTTTTAATCTATATCATGTTAAATGAAAGGACTTTTTAAAAAATATTTACAATTTCCAGTGACTACAAATTTCATTAATCCAAAATAATCATTAATCCAAAATTAATAGGTGATTAAATTTTCGAATTGCATCAGAAAAGGTTCAAGGGAAATTGTCACATTTCTCTATTTGTACTTCTTTGAAATTATGATTCATTTTACTTGATTTTGAATTGAGATATTTTAAATACTAGAAGTAGTACATGCTTATGTAAGAAAAAAACCTAAGTTGTAATAATACATATAAGCTAAAAAGTTTAAGTTCACCTGTATCCACTTCCACTTCGATAACCATTGGTTTAGACACCATTAACAATTTGGTTTCCCATCTTTCTAGATCTTTTTCTGTAAACTTTCAAACACATAATTTTTTATGTATCTTTTTAATCAAAATGGCATTATATAATGCATGTTATTTACTCAGTAATAGATATCTTTATATGTCAGTATATACAGATTTACTTGGTTTTTATGTAGTAGTTGTAAGGTGTTTCCTTATTGATGGCAATTTAGGTTATCCCCAGTGTTTTTGCTGTTATAGATGTCGGTGCGTGGAGTAGCCTTGTACATATCTCGTGTGCACTCGTGCTAGTATTTCTGAGGAATAGATTCCCAGAAATGGAATGGTTATTAGGTATGCACATTTAAGTTTTCGTTAGATCCAAAAAAGTTGTATTTATCTTGAACTGGCAATCCCTTAATGTCTTAAAGATAAAGGTAATACATTTTAGGATTAGATGATGAAGGAATGGGCTCTTGAACAACTATTAAAGGGCCTACTTAGCATAGGTCAAATATGTAGGCATCCACAGTGTTAACGGAGGTAGGTTGCAGTCCTTCTGTAGGAAATACTAATAAGGGCCTTTAATGGTGGATACTGTTGGGTTCTGAGTGCTTCTGTCTTTGATGAGTGCTATTGTATATTGCACAAACAAGAGAAGTGGTCACGAAAGTCCCGGGGAGATGTAGAAGTGGCTAATTTATGTTAGAATTACTGTGACACTTAAGTTGATGGCATTAGTTCTAATTTCATTCTTTGCTTTCAGACCACATGCTTAGAGAATGGAAAACAGATATGTGTGCCAGAGCATCAGAGATCAGTTTATAATTTTCTAATCCCTCTTATTTATTAGAAGTTAAAAAAGAGAAACAAGTGTCCAAAAGCAGACACTCCGTATTGCTGATAGATTTTGAGAAATGGAAACGTTATCTCAGGGCACTTTGAACAGAATCCAGCTTATGTCAAGCTTGACTTAACTTTTAAGACTGAATCCATAAATAGCAGGGAAATATGCCCAAAGCTAAGTGCTATAGGAAAGAATATTAACTCAGTTTCTAAAATTATTGTGATTGAACTTGAATTTTCCCTACTTGCTCTCTGTTGGTCACTTAAGCCCTAAGGGATACTTTTTCACTTTACAGACAGGTACTTTTTAAGTTATTTTAGTATTTCTCTGTAGAGAAATTCTCTTCATTCTCTTAATATTCTGATAACCTTGAATGTTTAAGTGAAGCATGTGTATTACTCAGCAAAAATGCAGCCATCCATTTATTTAGTGCTCATACTGTTTTGTACACTAGTTTGACTCTTAAATGAGAGTACATTGTGTAAGAAGAGATAATGTCAAATAATTTCTTGATAAAATGTTCATCTATCTCCTTTGTTATACAGCAGGAAACTTGTGCTTTCTTGAGTATAATTGACATCATTTTATTATGAAATCATGAAAGATTCAAGATTTACTGTGGATTTCTAACTGTTTAGCTTTGGACATGCTTTACCTTCTGCTAACTGTAAAATGGTTACTTATATAAATATATTGCTTTTTGGAGAATGCTGACCTAAAGGGGAAGCATTTTTAACTATAAATAGTTTTAGGAATAAAAATATGTTAGCATAAAATCATTTCCTACTGTTTATTTTAAACCATTATATCTATTCATAGCTTTATTGAGAACAGTATTCCTCACATTGGTAAATAAAGTGTTCTCTGACCACATGTATTTGGTAAACACTGTTAGGCTATTTTTGTTTGCTTTTCAGCTTGCACTATTTTTTCACAGTTTTTCGTTTATTGTTGTGCATTGACCCTCAAAAATGTGGATATATGTAGTATTTGGTGCTTTTAAAAGTTAAAAGCCTGTGTCTTCATATTAACATCTTGTGGAATTTAAGAGTTCATAACCATAGAATGTTCATTTCCAAAGCTCTGACAACTTTTATTTCTTTCACTGTAAGCAACCTGTTTCTCAAATATTGAACTTTAGACTTTACTTAGATTTTTAAAGAATTTATTTATTATTTAACAGAGAGAGAGACAGCGAGAGAGGGAACACAAGCAGGGGGAATGGGAGAGGGAGAAGCAGACTTACCACTGAGCAGGGAGCCCGATGCGAGGCTCGATCCCAGGACCCTGGGATCATGACCCGAGCCGAAGGCAGACGCTTAACAACTCAGCCACCCCAGGCACCCCTAGAGTTTTCTTAGATTTTTAAATGTTATTTTGCCTTTTTACAAATATTAAATACAAGGTTTCCCATATTAGGATTTTTAGAGGAATCTGACTTGCATTTGGCCTAGCAGTGCAGCTTATTTGTAAGACAGAGTCACACATGCTTAGGCTTCCCAGTTTGTTTTGAGCTAATGTAGCTAAAGAAAGTAATGTAGCTCAAGAAAGCCATCATTTTAACTATCATCCCTGTTGTTTTGCTCTTTGAACTTCTTTAGAATATCCATATTTTTTATAGCATTCATATACTGATATTGAAGGAAAAAGTGAAACTGAGAAAAAGTAAAACAACTGATATGGATCAGATGTAGGAACTTCAGGATATTCTTAAATGTTTCATCCTCTTTTCTTTCTTTCCTTGCTACTTAAGTCTTTGACTTTTGATACTAGGAAGTTTAGTAAAGCATTTTTTTTTTAAGATTTTATTTATTTATTTGACAGAGAGATAGAGCCAGAGAGCACAAGTGGAGAGAATGGCAGAGGGAGAGGGAGAAGCAGGCTCCCCACTTGAGCAAGGAGCCTGATGCAGGGCTCGATCCCAGGACCCCGGGATCATGACCTCGGCCGAAGGCAGACGTAAAGCATTTTTAATGGATAATTGCAAGTGTTAGGACAGTTTAGTCCAAATTAACTTTACTGAAATGTTTGTTTTCATTTCTATGATAGTTTAGTTTTTTACTGTTGTTCATAAGTTAATTTTAATTAAAATGCTTGTCTTTCCTTTAGCTTTTGAACTTTAATGTAATTGGCAGAGTTCTGGTAAAAGCAGGAAGCCATATTAATGTATTTATTTATACTATATCACCCAAACTTCCAGTGCTCTGTATGTTATTCCATTTTCTATTATTTATAAGTAGTTTGTTACCTCCCTGCCTTGACCTTGTTAAAGAACGTAGAGAAGATACAAATATAAGGGAGTAACCAAATCATAGTTAAATGTTACGAGAATTTGTTAGGATCAGTTCTTGCTAAAGTAAAAACTTGTAAAACAAAAGGCACAAAGCCTCAATCAAGAGAATTATTGGGTCAAGTCAGTAATTCTCAATTAGGAAACCTGCCTCTCTTGGGAAGGTCATGTCAGAATTTCTGGGCCAGCACATGGGTGGGGTTTGAAAAAAGCACTTTCTAAAAGTAATAAAGTTTTATTTTTGTGAAATGAAAAAAATAATGATTTCATAATATAACCCGTAAGAAGTAAAGTTCAACAGACATGTCTAGGCCATGAGGAAACCCCAAAGATAGAACAATTTCTAATGTGTTTGTTGAGTGTGCAATAGTAGGCCCCTTAAAAGGAACCTAATGGGCTTACTTGGGGGGATTTGATGAGAAGACAGGAAGGGTGAAGTTTATCAAAATGTAGCATAAGTTTAAAAAAACTTCAGGATGAGAAACATTGGTCTAAGTGATTGCTGACCACCACCTTGATGATGCTACCACATTTGATCTGCTTGTCCCAACTGTAGTTACAACACACAGCTTTCAACCAAAAGGCCCAAGGAATCTGGCAGGGTTTATTTTACTCTTGTATTGAAAGTAATTCACCTTCAATAACTCACCTCCGTGTAGATTATGTTCTTCAAATGAGAGGTCTTTTAAGATAGTACAGATATGGAGCCAAAATACAATGTAAGTGTCTGAGTTTTACAGGAAGGAAATAGGTGAAGTATTCAGTGATATTTAGTATGCCGCTTTTAACCCCATCTTTTGGCTATCTTAAACAGTTGCATTATTTTTGTTTGTGTTTTACAGTTTTTGATACAGTGTCCTTGAGTTCAGACTCTCTCTTCCAGAGGGCAGTTTCAATTCTTCATACTTCTTACTTGGACTCTGCATCTGGGCATGGTTTTCAGTACAGTCAAGTGACTTTGGTGAAAAATGACATTTTCTTAAATGAGGTGAGGTGCTTGGTACACACTGTGTCTGTGTGTTAGTTTTATTTTAGTTTTAAAGAAATAGACCCATCATTTTTGGTATAAAAGCCTATCTAGTTCTTCTCAGCTGTCAGTTTCAGATGAGATAAGAAATCCTTGGAAGGTAATAAGAATATATTCTAGGGAATAGAAAAATAATAAATTTTGTTAGTCCTTTAACAGGAGGAATTCAGATGATGCATTTTTAAAAATTAATTTGCAAGGCAAAATAATATGTTTATAGCATTTGATTATTCTCTCTTTTATACAGTACAAAACTTTTTACCAAGAAAAAAAATCAAGTAATTATACTCAGGAAGAACTTCAAGAGACTTATGGGTTTCTTCTGTTTGAAACTGAAAATCAGGTAAGGGAATTAGGTTGTAGAACATTAGTTTTGTGACATTAATGTACAAAATTAATGATATCATTAAACTTAAATATTGGTATTTCACTTCTCTAAGATTTGTAAAATTACCAGTTCTCCAGTCTTTTTTGTTGCTGAGTCTGGTGGCAGTGGGAATGATCATGACAGCTAGTCCTGAAAGAGGTTGGATTCCTGTACCTTTTCACAGGCCCTCTTCAGTTTCATCGTAAATACATTTGTCAGCTCAGGATGAGAATTGGATTAATACAGGTTTCCTAAGTATCAGTAATGCCTTCTAATGGAGTGAATGGGTATTTCTTCATTCTGGATCATTCTTCACATAGATACTTTGTTTCTTGTGGAGGTTTTTCAAGTTTCAGTTACATGGTTTTGGGCATAAGGTGAACACTTTCAGCAGTTGAGTTACTTGAAATTATTTCATGCCAGTGTTTAAAGATGGAGATTCCATATTGTTGCTCATACCCAAATTGTGGGAGAAGGAAGCTACTGTGTGGAGCGTGTCCCCAAAGATGTATGTGGCTTCCTAGATAAAGTTTTAACAATACCAGAGATTTAGAATTCAACTTAAAATAATTTCATATTTTGATTGGGTTCGTGATTTTTAAAGAACAAGGGTAGGCTTGCTTAAAGAATACTTAACATTAGCATATAACATAAGGATTATATAGTAATACCAGAAGAGTTCATTTATTTACTTAATCATCTACTTACAAATAAGATACACTATGGATTCATACTAAAAGAGGCATTAGAGGATAAGACATTTTCAAATTTAGTGATTCCAAAGCTATAATCAAAATCTTAAAGAGAGGACTTAATCTGGTAGCTTGTTTAATTTGGTTTTGCTGATGACATTTTTGTTAACAGAAATGATAAAATTTCATGAACTATTAACCAAACACAATTGCCTTACACAAGCTTGCTTTGTGCCATAAATACAGACCATATACAGGTTATATATTTATTTGAAAGCTTATATATTATAGTGTTATTTCATTGCCTCTCCTAAGACTGACATGATAAGCAAAGTACTGTCTTTTATTTAAAGGCAAAGTTAGTATGTCAGCGCGGGCTCTGTGTGGGCAGCAGTGCTATAACCACTCTCGGTGACCCAGCAAAAGGTAAGTCTGTGAGAGAAAGAGTCTCTTCTTTTACAAGATGAAGTGGGGTTTAGTTCATTTCATAAGATACTTACATTAGAAGCCAGTTTCATTAGTGATAAATAATAATCTTTAGAATCTGTGCTTTAAACATGTAAATGAGCTTCGAGTCTAAGACTTAAGATTTTCCAATAGGAGTTACATGATCAGAACTTTTTCTTAAAAGTTGGACTAGAAGAGATACTGAAATTAGCTTTCAGTACCAAGAGATTAGTGCGATCATCCAGGGCTAATGAGGACGTCTTCTAAACTATCATAATGGCAGTAGGAATAGAGAATAGATGGAACTGACCAGACTTGGCAACTGTGGAATGTGAGGAGTAAGAGAAAGGAAATATTCAGATATAAGCTTGTAAACTTACACTACAGTCATGTTGTTAATAGAGAAGAGACACAGAAGGAAAGGAGATTGGTAGGGAAGCTGAGGAGTTAAAAGAGAAAGGTAATCTTACGGTTAAGAATGTGGATTAGCACTAAATTTCTTGAGCTTCAAGTTCCTCATCTGTGAAATAGATGAAACCATCTTTTAGATCTGCTGTGAGGATCATGTGAGGCTATGTGAAGCACTTAGCTCTCAGTAAATGGATGCTACTACTTTCATGAATTAAATTTGAGAAATAGTGAGGTTTTCCTAGGTGTTACCAGGAGATACCCTCCTGATGGTAAAAAAAAACAAATAGCTGGAAAAAAGGATCAGAACGGGAGATGGGGGCTCAAGGTGGCAGGACTAGGTGTTAGTTGAAGCCAAAGATACTGTTACATGGGGCATTATTGAAGGAAAAGATGACAAAGAGCAGGACTGTGGATCGCTGTGGGACTGGGTCTGGGGGGCGGTCCAGTGGAGGAAGAACTGGGGAGGGAGAGGAGGACGGGTATTTAGCACTATCAGGTGCTACCACTGTGGAGATCAGGAATGGCTAGCTTCCTGCTGGCCTTTTCTTTTTCACAGCTCTATCGAGATAAAATTTATACAGCCTCTAATTCACCCATTTCAAGTGTACAGTTCAGCTTTTTTTGGTGTATTCATAGAGGTGCTACTGTTAGCACAGTCCATCCTAGACTGTTTTCATCCCCCCAAAAAGAAGTCCTGTGCCTATTAGCAGTGATGCCCCATTCCCCGCCACCAACGGCCGAGGCAGCCACTAACCTGCTCTTCCCCTCTCCAGGTTGGCCTCCTTCAGACACTCCACATCAACAGAATCCTATGTGATGTTTTGTGACTCCTTTTCTCAGTTTAGTGTTTTCAAGGCTCATCCCTGTTGTAGCTCGGAACAGTACTTTGTCTGCCTTTTGGCTGAATAATATCCTGTTGTATGGTTTTACCACATTTTCTTTATTCTTTCAGCGCTTGAGGGACCTTTGGTTGTTTGCACTTCTTGGCTGTTACGGAAATGCTGCTGTGTGCATTCATGTACAAGTTTTTGTGGAGACATGTGTTTTGCCTTCTCTTAGGTATAGACACAGCAGTGGAATTGCTGGGTTATGTAGTCACTCTCTGTAACACAAAATGCTTTAAAACTTACATTCACATCTTCTAAAGGCCATGACAGGGAATACATTCATAACCCCGATAACGTTTTACATAAAACCTTTTTTTCTTCCTAGTCTTTTTCACCCCCCCTTCATTGTAAAACATAACTAACATAGGAAGAGAGGATGGTATAATGTACCCATCCCCTAGGTTTAACAGATCATGTTTTGCATTATTCCCTTCATTTGGTTAAAAAATTTTGTTGTTGTTGAAGAATTTGAAAGTAAATTACAAGTAAATACTTTAGCTTACATCTCCAAAATAGAAGGCCCTTGTTCTACGTTACTCTAATTCCTAATTATATGGTTGATGTTTAAGAGGTTGGCTTCGGTGGGGTGGTGGAGTAGAAACTGCATTATTCTTAACAAATATACTTTCTTAAACACGTACTGGGGTGGGTAAGAAAATAGCACTACTGCCCGCATATATTTTATAGTTTCGGGCTCAAATAGAAATGTTTAGTTCTGTGAATGTAGTGTCTTTTTAGTTTTTTAAAAGTTTATAGATCTTTTTAAATCTTCTGAGGACCCTGTGGTCTATGTATCCAAGTGCCCCCCCCCCACACCTCAAGTGACCTGCTCCTCAGTCACGTGGTTATTAGTAGGAAATGAATGACTTGGTGCTGGAACCCAAGCCTCTGACCACAAGTTCATTGCTCTTACCAGGATATCCAAGGACTCTCTCCGTTGTCTCGTATTTCGAGAGATGCCTCAGTTTAGGAATCTCTGTGGGATCTGCTCTTCCCTTGCCATTCCCCTGCCGCTGCCACCTGGGGACCTGTCTCAGCTCTGACGTAGCTTTGTGGTTGGTCTTGCTTCTAGCCTCTCCCCTCTGGAGACTCCACTGTCTTGTAAGTGGCAGTCTGCTGCTGAAAACCCTTGGTGGGTCTCTGCTGCCTATAGGGTGAGGTCTCCCCTGAAGAAGTCCTACAAAGATCTTTACCACCCAGTTCCAAGCTTCCCCTTCAGCCTCAGCTTCCCGTGCTTTCTCCCCTGCTCCCCATGCTGTGACCCACCGTCCTGCACAGTTTATAATCTTTTATGCTTCCATACTTGTGTTCACTGTTCTCTGAGAATTTCATTCCTCTGTTTAAAGAACTCCTTTTCTAAGAAAATATAATTGCTTATTTCCATTTCTTTGTGTCCTCAAATACATGTGTCTGACAAATAGTTAAGTACCTACCATATACTGGGCTGTGGTGTGGCTACAGTGGTGAGTAGAACAAACGTGACCCCTGCCTCACCTGGAAATTGCACAGACTAGCAGCATAAGCTGCTTCAAGGCAGGACCTTGTCCTCTTTACTTTGGTGCCACTGCTGCCTAGCACATACCTGCCAAGTGGCAGACCTTAGTGCTTATTATTAAATAGAGTCCTTACTGAGATTTTTTGCAAAAAATAACTTGAGAATCGGATTACTACAGATAGGCCTTTTCACTGAATGAGTGCCTTAAAAAAAAATAAACTTAGAATTTACCAAGAATTGTGATACTTGTATCCCTTTTTAGTTATTGTACCCAACTAGAACATTGGTTGTCCATCAGATACATCCTGTCTTGTCTTAGCTCTAATGTTTCCATACCTTTAGAATATCTTGAATAGTTTTTAAAAGGTAAGCAGTTTCAAAACAGTTTAATGTTGACTTTTATTTATTTGTGTTTTGTGTTGTCTTGTTCTGTTAAAGGTAGCCCTACATGTGAAATGTATGTGAGTAAACAATCCTTTTAAAGTGTGAATTAATCTGTATCTTATACTTTTATAGGTGTGTATATTTCCAAATACTCCGACTATCTTCATGCAAGACCATGGTATCATGGGAAGTGTGGTTATGTTGTAATTTTTAACCTAATTAAGGTAAAGCCCAAACGCTCTTTTATGTAATTTTTCTTTTAAAAACTAAAGGTTTTCAGTCTGTGATAATGTTCTTTGCGGATCATTTGCTAAACATCATAGTCACTGAAGACAGCTATAAATTCAGAAAAGATAACTGCTGTTCTTGCTTTCCTTTAAAGACAAAGCTTTTTTGTTCATTTGATAAATGATCTATGAATATGTCTTTAAAAAAACAAAACAGGGGCGCCTGGGTGGCTCAGTCGGTTAAGCGTCTGCCTTCAGCTCAGGTCACGATCCCGGGGTCCTGGGATTGAGCCCCACATCGGGCTCCCTGCTCAGCGGGAAGCCTGCTTCTCCCTCTCCCACTCCCCCTGCTTGTGTTCCCTC